TGTGTTGCCCTAATAAAGACCTATCCTGTAGTGCTTGAAAGTCCATTTTAATATGAGTTTCTTGCCATTTTAATTGGGAATTCCTGTGCCTTTTTTTGGGGGGGGAGGGGATACAGAATATTTAATTTAAGGTGAAGCCTGAAGTAATTTTTGGCTAAATGCTATGATAAAACTCATCTTCATTTTCTCTCCTGGGTGAAAGGAACACATTTATGTTGTGTAAGAACCCACCCGGGAAGAGGAGTCTCTTTTTCCGCTACACACGAGCACACTGCTTTATGGAGAAGCCTACTGTGCGGCAGCGAGGACAGTATTTCTCCCATCCGCCTCCAGTGAGGGCAAACGCATCCGCTCTGTGTGCTGTCAGAGCAGCCGGACTCCACGTGGAGGCGCTGCAGGAGATGCGTGGCGGCGAACATGGCAATCTCTCCCTCTTTGGCTACTTAGCCTTTCAGAATGGTTTAATTGGCACAAACACACTGTTTTAAGTGCAGTTATACAATGGCATTTAAAGTATTCTTGAAATAACGTGGCACGGATGTGTTGCTACTCATTCTCTGGAATAAGTGTGACTGTCCGACAAATGAAATTTTTAAAAAATGAACTCTCCAGGACTTTTTTTAATGAACAGCCTGTGTGTATGTCGTCCCCTCTGTGGCTAGAAACACGCATTGAAAATACTTCACTTAATAAAAAATGTTGTTCTGAAGCCGGACACCCGGAGAAAGCGGGCATATTTTTAAGGAGAATGCATTAGCGTAGCAGAGGGACCCAGATCTCAGAAAGCTGCCCGAAAAAGCAGCATGCCAGAGAAGGATTGCCTGAGAGGCCAGAGCAGAAAGCCGATAGCTTAGAACTAGAAAATGTATATGAGACTTTGCTGATACCAACCTGGGCCATTTGGGCACAGAGTGTGAGAAAAGGACATTTTACTTATTTTCTCACCCAAGCCCTGGGGCCTAGATTGGGCTGGATGTAGACAAAGGTGTGGGTTCCAGTCTCAGCTCTGCTGTCTGTTAGCTAACCATGACCTTGGCCAAGGCACAGATGCGGGGCAGTGGGGAATGCTTGGCTTTGCTGTCAAACAGACTGAGATCCAGTGTCAATATTTAACTACTGAGCACCCACTAACCAACAGAGCAACTGACCAAGCAACCAGCCCTGGTCTGTAATGCTTGCTGATCCCCATGGTGCAAATCCTACACCTGGGCCAGCTGGCAGTGGCCCGAGGGACCTCACTGAATGCAGAGGGGGAGGAGATGTGCATGAGCTGCTCCCTTCAGAGAGCTCCCCAGACCCTCCAGGCTGCTCCAGCTGGCCATGGCCCAGGTCCCACTGATGGCTCCCCCCCTTCCCTCCCATCCCCGCCGCCCTGCCAGCATAAGGCCCAAGGCAAGCTACGCAACGTCTCCATTTTCTAAGTTTTAAAATGTTGACTTTAAACAAATCTCACCACTTTATAACAGAAGGATTCAACATTTGCATGTATCTAGCTAACATCCATCCCCTCCCACTATTTTTCTTGTGATAACTTTTCAAATATAGACTCTCAGAAATTTTCAAATAGGCAACACGGTGTTATTGGGGACAAGAGCTTCTGTACGCTATGAGCAAACTAGGATGATGTGTGTTTTCAAACTTGATTCTCACTGGGATCATGGTTCTCAAAGTGAGAACAAAACTGGTAGAATATGACAAATATCACCATCCAAAATGATGAGCTTTTCAAGAATGGTAGTTTATTGAAATATATGTGATGCAACATAAGCTGCCTGCTAACTTCACATGTTTAATGTTGGTCATTGATAATTAACATAATGGTAAACGAGGTCTTCTCTTACTTATTTTTCAGGGTTTTTGATAGGATTTAAGAACCACGGTGAAAAGCACTACAAAAATAGTCTATACTAATAAAAGGCTAATATGCTAATTAGACCACACATCTTTTGGGCGTCCTTCCAGAAGCCATGGTTGTGGGGGTGAACCAGAGGTGGTTATAGGCAATCAGGCCTGCAGGGGAGGGTAGTTAGGGGGCAATCAGGCTGGCAGGCAGGTGAGTGGTTGGGAGCGAGCAGTCCCAGATTGCGAGATTGCGACTGTTGGTTTAGGCCCATCCCACTGGCAGTTGGATATTCCCTGAGGGCTTCCAGATTGCAAGAGGGTGCAGACTGGGCTGAGGGCCCCCTCCCCGCCACCTCGTGCATGAATTTTGTGAACCAGGCCTCTAGTAAAGCATAGAGAAAGATGATGGCAAATTTGCATCTACTTGGAAATTGGCTCTCAGTAAATGAGTAACATCCAAGAAAGAGGACATGCTATTCCTATACAGATGGGAGAACTTATTCATTGTCTATTTAACTTTTTTTTAACCCAAATGACTGCATCTTCAATGTGCATTAAATGTCTGAAAATGGAGGTGCTATTGCTGATTTAGAACATTTCAAAGAAGCGAAAGTCCCAGTCAAAAAGCAAGCAGCAAGGGCCTGAGCTTGCAAAGCAGATGTTCCTCCATTTGCTGAATTTCCAATAATAAATTTCACCTTTTGAGTAGAGGCAAAAAATAACATTGTTCTTCATTACCAGTAACTTCTTACACATTATGTAAATGAATAAAATAGCTCCAACTTTAGGAATGCTGTAATTTCAGAAATGAAAATTATACAACTTCATTTAAAAATACTCATTGTCCTCTCTACTGATAACTATTTTCTGGTCTACTAGGACTCTTCTTTTTTTTAAATGTATTTTTTATTGATTTCAGAGAGGAAGGGAGAGGGAGAAAGATATGGAAACATCAATGATGAGAGAGAATCATTGATCGGCTGCCTCCTGCATGCCCCCAACTGGGGATCAAGCCTGCAATCCGGGCATATGCCTTTGACCAGAATTGAACCCAAGACCTTTCAGTCCGCAGGCCAATGCTCTATCCACTGAGCAAAACCTGCTAGGGCTAGGACTGTTCTTTTCTGAATGTGAAGTGGATTTGAAAGTGTTATTCTTGGAAAAATTGGAACAATTTGTATTTAACAGATGATGTCTCAATAGTCTACCTTAATAAGCCTTCCTAATATATGTTTCTCTAAATAATAATTTATGAAGCATCTTTTTCTTTAAGAATTACTCTTTGTATTTTTATGCTGTGTTGTTTTTTAATATCAAGAATTCATTGACCCAAAGAGAGTTCTCTCTCAGAGCATATAAACATAGTAATAAATACCACCATTTCTTCCGAATCAAGAGGCTATCAAAGCCTGATATCATAGCCTGCCTCCGTTTCTACCAGTCCTTTGCATCACCTGGGCCAGTGGTTGACAAACTCATTAGTCAACAGAGCCAACTATCCACAGTACAGTGATGGAAACATTTCGGCTTTCTTTTGAGAGCCGAAAACGGACTTCTGCACATGGGTCACGAAGTTTCAATCGCACTGTATGTGCGTACCTGCACGTGGTATTTTGTGGAAGAGCCACACTCAAGGGGCCAAGGAGCCACATGTGGCTCGAGAACCGTGGTTTGCCAACCACTGACGGGGGCCATACAGAATAGAAGAAGCCAGGATACGCAGGAAACGTCATCTGGTGTAACACTGGCCAAATTAGTGCTTTTCTGAACTATAATGCTTCTTTGGTTAGAGAAGCATGTACCTACAGGACCATAGCAATAGCAATAGCATTTTAGAAACAGTAAAAATGATTTTCCCTGAAGATGTAATAATGAAGTAAGCACCTTGGTAAGGAGACCAGGCCCTTTCTTGCCTTCACTTTTTGTTTTTTTATATTCATGATCAGGTTTTAAAAGATATACAAAGGGAATGTAAACAATAACATTTAAGAGGAAAGTTATGCAGGTAAGTGGACCAGTTGTCTGATACAGATGCAAAGACTGGGAAGGAGAAAAGAGACAGACTTGGGCTGTTTTTACACTTGTAGATTAATATCTTCCATTGGGGACCACAATGACTGTTTGGAAACACATATACTTTTCTGTTACCAGACAGAAAATGAAGTTGACAGAGATGGTCGTGTGGAGCAATGTGTCTTTATCTGGGCCATGCTCACAGATCATAGAATAAGGTTGGTGAAGAGTTGGGAAGGAAGGTGGGCATAGGCATATTTGGCAAACTAGAATTTTCTATGATTATTGGCGATTTCTGGGCATAGGACCTGGGAGACTGCTCCTATGCAAAGTTTTACTGGGACAATTAAACTCCTCTTATCTCATGATTTTAAGCCCAAAGCCATGTAATAAAAATATGGAAATTTAAAACTTATTGTATTAGCACATTTAAAAAAATACATTTTATTGATTTTTTTTACAGAGAGGAAGAGAGAGGGATAGAGAGTTAGAAACATCGATGGGAGAGAAACATCGATCACTTGCCTCCTGCACACCCCCTAATTGGGATGTGTCGGCAACCAAGGTACATGCCCTTGACCAGAATCTAACCTGGGACTTTTCATTCTGCTGGCAGACACTCTATCCACTGAGCCAAACCAGTTTTGGCTATATTAGCAAATTTTGACGATGTGCAATGGCACCACTCACTTCTGTATACATATTAGGATTTAGAAATAAAATAATTATTAAAATTCCTATAAAATAGGAAGATTCTCCTTAGTTAAGTAGTAACACTGTCATGAAACACATCAACTACATCCATGGCTTTAAGAGAGCTGAAATTCATAGTATTTGTGGAAATAAAATGGTTATCAACTATTATAACCTTTATTCTTTAAAATTGGTGGTTGTAAGACTTACCTTTTAATAATCATTAAAAATAAACATTATATTTCATTTTTTAATGGAATGATAGAATGAAAAGGAAATGATTGATGTGCAAGGGCAAAAGCCAAAATGTATTAATTAATTTTCATTCCTTTAGTATCAATCAACTCAAGGACAATAAACTATTACTTTGAAACTTAAACTGCAATGAGATAATTTTGTGATTAGAAATCAAAGCAGAAACTAGAGCTGAAGCCAATTAGTCAAAATCTTACCTGATGTGGCCTTTTGTTCTCGCTTCCTCTCCACTCTCCCTGTAATGAGAAGTGGCAGGTCAGTCTCAGTGCGGGGCATGAGAATAAAATGCAATGCAGACAAAAGCCCAGTTTCCAGTAATTTCCAAACTCAGCCCCTACTTCTGCCATGTCCAGCTCACTTCCAGACATGACGAGGCACAGTCGAATGGGATGGAAAGGGCGCTCTAATCGATTTACAGAAGTAAGAAAAAAAACATGAGTATGCATTCAAATTGCTGCTGGGTTTTTACAAAACCTGTTAGTAAGGGCCGTTTACCCAACAGTAACTCTATAACTTGCAAACAAACAGAGCTAACTGTGAGGGAAAATGTGTGAATTAAATAGGACCACGACCTCTTACAACCTGCGTGGGAAGATAAAGGACAGACAGTGCTACATGTACATGAGATGTGCCCCCGAAGGTACAGAATGCTCAGCGATAGGAGAGGACAAAGCAATCCTTCTGAGAAACGGAGTGGCCGTAAGTGAAGGAGAAAGTGGAATGTGACTTGGGCCTGGAGAGACAGGTGTGAATAGGGAACGTGAAACGGGAAGGATTGAATCTTGTCAAAGGAAACAGGACGGGCTACGCAGGCAAGGCTGTTGGAAGAGGAGCTGCGTTTTGAACCAGCTGCAGGGACTTGGCCATTAGTAGCCTTGCACAGGAAGAGGGCTCTCCCAAGAGGCACAGACTGAGTGTGGGAAGGCTAGGGAGGAGGAAAGGGCGAGATGAGTGGTCATCTAGGTGATTTGGGTGCAGTGACACAATTCGGGGAAAAGATAGAATGTGATGGGGGCATGGGGATGACAAGGTCAGGCCTGGACTCACTGAGTTTACAGTGCTACGCAGACATGGAGCCTGGGTGCGGGATCAGAGCGTGTCCATCCTGAGAATGTGGCTGAGCTGGGGCGAGGGACAGGAACGTTAAGGCAGACAGCACGGAAGGCTATGCTGAGGACAGTGGCCAAGGAAACGGAAATGCTACTTCTGACTGTGATCTATGGCCAGGAGAAGACAGAGGTAGATGCAGAGATCCACGGAGTGCAGCGTGGTGTACCGCAAAGGAAGATTTAGGAAGTATGGGGTGGGGGTACCAATAGCATCCGATGCTGTCCTGTTCACGTGGTTGTTACTGGTCTGAGAAAGCAGTTTTAGAAGAGACGGAGCAGAGAACACAGGAGAGAGGATGTGAGTGCCTGAGGGGGGGGGGTGTGTGAGCGATGAGGAAGGTGAGGCGCAGGAAATGGCTTCTCGTTCATCAAACTTGACAGCAGCAAATAGTGAGGTGGGTCAGCAGCTAACTAGGAGCACAATCCAGGCTTCAGCGAGGCTGCGGGGCACCCCGGCCTGTTTACAGGCTGAGATAAGTGATGTTGTCCCAGTGCAGAGGGTGTGTGAACACCAGTGCTGAGCTTAGAGCCTTGGTTCTGTCTGGGGAGAGCCTGGCCACCCTTCCGGCCACCACGGTCAGCATTTCCCAGATGGAGCTGGATCCTGAGAGTTTAGGCAGCACGTGGAAGCTGCATGCATCCTGGAAGTTTTCTCCCAGTTCTTCATGTGTTTTAAAATCCTAAAATATACGCTGGGAAATGTACAGTCTTGTTCAGCTGCCACAAGTGTGGGATTCACTTCCCTGGCATCTTGATAAATGGTCCTCTTCTCCCCCGGGTGATTTCCAGAGGATTTGTTGGATGCGATTTATTTCAATGATTCAAACAGATAACTGGTGGGAACCATCCATTTAAAGGTTCCATTCATTACCAAGCATGGTGGGGCACCTCCTCATTCAAGCTTTTTAAATCGGGAAAGCCACTGCTTCCTATCTGAGTCTACATTTTTGTATACTAGAAGCCTCCAACATTTTCATGAATTTTAAATGTTTTTTATTGATTTCAGAGAGAAGAATGAAGAGGGAGAGAGAGAGATAGAGACATTAATGATGAGACAGAATCAACTGCTTCCTGCACATCCTCTCCTGGGGATGGAGCCTGCAACCCGGGCCTGTGCCCTGACTGGGAATTGAACTATGATCTCTTGGTTCCTGGGTCAACACTCAACCACTGCCAGGGCCTCATGAATTTTAAAAAATGTTATTTAAGTCCTGGATTATAACATGTTTAAAGCAAAACACCTCTTTGGAGAGTCAGCTTGCACAAGAATGACTCATAAATCCTGAAAGGACACAGTGAATCTACTGGAGATAAATATCGTGGGTTGGGGGGTTGTCAGTCTTCCAGGAGACCCCAATGGTCCTCCTCTTCCCACCTCCTTAGGGGCAAGGGCTGTATCTCCGCCCCTCCATCTCCGGTGCCTCCTGGGGCCTGGGACACAGCTGCTGGGGATAGAAGACTGAGCGCTCTGTCATGTCCCAGCCCTCCACAGGCCTGAGAATAGGACGCAAATCTCAGGCCTTTTTTTTTAAATTTAATAAATCTTTATTATTCAGATTATTACAATTGTTTCTCCTTTTCCCGCCCACAGCTCCCCTCCACCAGGTCTACCCCCCACCCCCTGCCGCATGCCCTTACCCTCTCCCCCACTGCCCTCATCTGTAGGTGTACGATTTTTGTCCAGTCTCTTCCCGCACCCCCACACCCTTTCCCCCCGGATAATTATCAGTCCACTCCCTTTCCATGCCCCTGATTCTATTACTATATTCACCAGTTTATTCTGTTCATCAGATTTTTTATTCACTTGACTTTTAGATTCACTTGTTAATAGATTTCTTCTTCTTCCTCTTCTTAAAGCATACCTTTCAGCATTTCATATAATACTGGTTTGGCGATGATGAATTCCTTTAGCTTGTTCTTATCTGTGAAGCTCTTTATCTGACCTTCCATTCTGAATGACAGCTCTGCTGGGTAGAGTAATCTTGGTTGTAGGTTCTTGCTGTTCATCACTTTGACTATTTCTTGCCACTCAATCCTGCTGCCACTGAGCAGGCGCCACCAAGACAGAGCTGTCTCCAGGTGCTCACTCTGCAAACGACAAGCTGGGCAGCTTCATGCCGGAGAGGTGGGCGTCAGCATCCCCGAGGCTGTCAGGAACGCGAGTGCGAGTGCCCTGCTGGCGGTTCATTTCAGCAGGGACCCCACTCTAAACACGAGACATGGAAGAACCATTTGCCATTCACTCTGTTTAACACTGGACGCAGCACTCAACCTGCGAGGACTGGAAATGGACCGTAATCTCATGAAAATGGAATCTGCCAGGGAAAACTCCCCTTTGGAGAGAATGTCTTTAAGTGAGCATTAACAGCCCGCAGCTCACGGCCATTTATTTACACAAATGGAGCCTTGCTACTTTAGAAGCTGTTTGAGACTTGAGGTTGTTGATATCGTTCCCTGGAGAAACATAAGGATATTTCAATTTCCAGCCCGTTTCCGTGGTTCAGTATGGCAGTAGTTCCTTCATCACAGCGATTATTTCTGATCTTTTACTGCTGACCTTTCAAAACCACAGGCACACAGATGGTGATCTGATATAGCTTACCAATAATGACTAGCACAACTAGGAATCTTATGTCACTTCTAATAAAAAGGAAATTTTGTGTATACATATATATGTTATATATGATATATATATTATATATAGAATATGTATACACATGTGTCTGTGTGGATATGCATATATATATATATATGCACACACATACACCTGCATTACATAAGTGCATATGTGATATATGTATATATACTGCCTTTTATACTCAGATACAGTCTTATGTCTAAAATATACTCTCCCTCCAACTCCTCCATCTTGGCATCATCCAGGACATCACGGACCCCTAGCAAACACCCTCCGCCACCACTCCCCGCTTCTCCGCAGCCAATTCTGTGTCTGCATTCACTCGCAGGCATTGTATTCGCCCTGTTCTGAGAGTAGTATTAATCGCCTCTGTTGCTAGGATACCTGAGAATATTCATTTATGTCTGACGATTCTTTGGGAAAATGCACTATAAAAAAGAATTAGAATCATGACAAGGAAAATTACTGTGCACATGCTACTTATTTAAAAAATGGGCCATGATGTGTGTGTGTGTGTGTGTGTGTGTGTGTGTGTGTGTGTGAGACGTGACTACCAGATAATAGTATGCTAACTCCCATGAACTTTTTAATATTTTTGTTTCAACTAGATCTGAATGGAAAAGCGCTGGCAATATATTTGGACAATGAGGATTTGTAGTACTACTACCAGGTATACCAGTTACTAATTCGAATATTTTTCAATAGATGGAGTTACACATATGTTGACATATATGTGATTTAAAAAAATATTTTATTGATTTATTACAGAGAGGAAGGGAGAGAGATAGAGAGCTAGAAACGTCGATGAGAGAGAAACATCCATCAGCTGCCTCTTGCACCCCCCCCACTGTGGATGTGGCCGCAACCAATGTACATGCCCTTGACCGGAATCGAACCCGGGACCTTTCAGTCCGCAGGCCGACGCTCTACCACTGAGCCAAACTGGTTTCGGTGACATATATGTGATTTGATATGGATGCTATTTTGTTGTATTGACAGCAAGCTTCAAAACTTCCTATGTCAAATTTGCTCAAGGTGTTAACATCATAGATATTTTTATGCTTAAAAATGTCCAATTTCATGCCAAAAAAAGAGCATTTGCAGGAAGTTTTAACTCATTTATTTTGAAGAAAAGTGCTGCTTAAAGTGATCTCATACTTCGGGAAGCTTATGGTGAACATGCTCCATCTCAAGACACTTGTGAACGCTGGTTTAAATGCTTCAAAAGTGGTGATTTCCATGTGAAAGAAAAAGAATGTCCAGGTCAACTGAAAAAGTTTGAAGACCAGCAATTACAAGCATTATTGGATGAAGAAGCATGTCAAACTCAAAAATAACTTCAGAAAGAGTGTATGCTCTGAGTCAACTGGGAGAAGCAGGAGGAGGCGAGGTGGTAATCCTGTTCCTGGCAGAGGAAGGGACTGGAGAGGGATCCCTTCAGATGCCTCTTCCTGCCGGGGACACGAGTATAATGCTGATCTACCTGCAG